TTCTCTAAAGATTGACTTGAATCTTTAGGGTGGTATAAATAAATTTCACGCAAGTTCTGTTTCTTGATCCAAAAACTCGTTTATGCAACAAACATTGTAATTGTCCAAATCGTCTTTTTTTCATCAACTACACTTTTCCTTGTATTGTAGAATAAATTTGTTCTTCTATGAGGAATTCTATATGATTTTTGTCAGTGTAAGCCAGAGTGTTACGAAGAAGGATCTACCTATCATTTCATATAGATTTAACAACCGAGAAAATTCATGATATAGTCACTAGGAACGTGAGGTTGACGTCCATCTTTTTGCTCATCCAAATCTCCATCCTCTAACAGTCTAGGTTTTGTTGAAAACTATAACAGAAGCGAAGAAAGCGAACTTTGAAAGATTTGAGAAAAGATTTTGTCAAAACTATGAAATAGTGTCCTACGATATTGTAATCAAAAGTAATTTAGTATGATCATAATTAGATATTCACGAAAGTCGACCAGGGAAAGATTGAAAATTCCCAATACTGCTGTCCCTTTGTAGTCTGATGGAAGTAGTAGTTAAATGCATACAGTCTGGAAAATCATTCTTGGAATCGCATAGTTTAGCAGCAATTAGGATTGCGATTAGTCATCCAATAGAACTCATGGAAATCCTTTGCATTCCTTAGAGAGGTTCTCCAGAATTTCAAAAATGCAGCCAGAAAGAAAACTTTCGATGATGTATCGCAAGGATCAGTTCTAATTTCGAACAGATTTTGGTCACATACCTCATCTGAAGTGTTATCAACAATTGTATTTAGTGGCTGTTGAGTTAGTCGGCATGTATTGTCAATCCACGATATTTCACATCTGACTAATTCTTTGTTTTCAATGATGTCAATAGGTGTTGTATAGGTCCAGATACCATTTGATTTTGGAGCATATGCCCAAGTTACGAACCAACGTTTCGTATGAACCCAAAATTGAGTTCGAAATGGAGCGATGCATGATTCGAGACTAATGAAATTATCGTTGCTACCATACTCATACGAGAAAAAGAATTCAAGTTTATCTAGTTTTGATAGTTTTCCATGAACAAGTCGTTCCCAATAAGATGCATCGAACATCGAGTCAAATGTTTGCCTTTTAGAGATAACTTTGAGATGGCTAAGTGACAATATACACGAAAGTAGTAATTCGAAGTATTGTTCAGGAAGTGAACAGGCTGTGATAGTTAAAGATTTCAGTACAGAATGAAATGTAGATGCAGTGGATGGAATCAGTATATTACTCCTATCATCTATGGTACAATCTTGCATGACCAGAGTTCGTAAATGAGATAACTGACGAAGAATGCCCAGATAGTCACTGTAGTTACACCTAGTGATTGTTAGATGTTTTAACACGCAGGAATCTGCCCATACTACGTTTGTCATGTAACTTACGTTACTCACACATAGTTTTTGAAGATTCCATCGACTGAGTACTGATGAAACTAGACTCCATGTTTTCAAAGTTTTGCCTTTGTTTGATTCTATTGAAAAGGACACTAAAGAATTGATAGTCAAATTTTTTAACAGATACTTCAAGTCCTCATCTTGTTTTCCGTGAAGGCTCAATGCACGAAGTCGCGTGAATCGATGGCAATCGAATAGTGACATAAATCGACCGATCGGTTCATACATCCAAACGTCATGAGAGATTATCAATGAAATGATACTCTCGGGGCAAATAAAGCGAGCAAGCCCCGGCATGGTATCGAGTGAATCTGCATTCAAAATGAGCTCATATCGATCATAAGTGTTGACGATGGCGAACATTTGTTCACATATTTGACGAATGGAAAGAAGAATAGTTTGAATATCACAATAATCAAATATGCGATGAATCAGTTCAACAGGTAGGTCGAGTAAAGATGCATTCTCCATCGGAGTAAAATTTTAAGTAGTTTAATGTGCAGATGCAATATTCTAGAAGCATATAAAAGAGCTTCAAATATATTTTCTGTCTTGTTTTCTCAACTTGAGTGAAGAAATACAATTGTGAAATCCATATTATATAGCAGGATTTCAAAGATTGAACAGTGTTCAATGAAAGACATGCAGAGCTCTGGTTAATAATGCTGCTAACCACGGGCAAATGAAAAGGAAGATTTTAGTGCATCAAGAGAATTTCTTTGTCTTGTCTTTCTCAAATTCCTATTGTATCGAGTCGCTAATAATTCATAATATTTGATAAAGAAAAACAAGTATGTGGCATGTTCTTGGAGCTTGTCTAGATGCAAATCGTTCAATAAAAGAAGGAAAGCATGCTCAAAAATGAGACTAATATGTATCGTCGATAAAGACTACAATAGAGACTTTTTTTTACACAACACAGCATGAGTTGAGTCTTAGATTCGGAAGTTCGAGATGATTTGTGCAAGGTAGATCAAGAGTTCAGTCGTCATCGACTAACAGTGGATATAATCAATGTTAGTGAAGACCGATTGAAGTTTTGAAATTATAGCTCTGTATACAGGAAGCAACCTGTCGTAGCATGTTGTCGTTTTTATCTTTCTATGTAGTGCATAGATAGGGTATCAAGAGAATAGTCGAATTTTAGAGAGTTTGTGGGCTTAAATCTTATGGATTCAGTTACGAGTCCTCTTCTGTATTTTGAGCTGATGACTGAGAATCGCCGAGAAAATCAATATGAAGAAATTGCAAAGTTACGTTTGCTCTATATGTTTCATGACTATTAAAATAAGCCAGAGTTTTAGTTTTAATTGATCATCGTCTCACACTAGATATGCGAACGTCAACGAAAATGATTTTTGTCGAATAGATTCGAATATAACCCCCTCCGAGATTAAAATGTCAAACACAGTAATTTCAGTATACTCGTCAAGATGAAGCCTAATCACATCGATTATTATAGCATTCGGAAGTTTTGTCGACTTTTTTCTGCCTGTCACAGTCACTGTGTGAAAGCGCAATAGATTAGTGTCCCGGTATATCACTATAAACGTCTATAATAATTACCGATCGTGTTTCAGAAAAAGAGAGGTTGAAAGAAGAAACGTTGCAACAATTCTGCAGAGTAAATGATAGTTCATAGAGGAAACGGTAGCAGATTCGAATAATCGTAGATTATAAATGTGCGTATGTCGAGCGTGCTAGTCTGACTCTTTCGTTTCTCCCATAACGTTCGCGAACCTTCGAGTTCGAAATTCAAGTTGCGATTTCCTAGGAAGAATATTGCAATCGTATTCACATGAATATTCATAGAATATCGAACTCGATTTCACCTTCGGAACATTCTTCAGAAAATAGAATGCATATTTTCACTCCTCATCTTTACAAGTTCTTTCACCTCAATGCTGATGGTCGAAACTTTATTTAAAATAATAAAAAGCGAAGCATAACTTGTTAAGTTATACTTAAAACAATATATCAGAAAGGAAACTCGATTATATTACAAAGATTCTAGCATAGAAACATGATGAAAGGAATCACTATGCTATACTTAACTAAATATACTAAAGTTCTAGTGTAAGTATAATTGTATAGAAAAAAAAAGAACTTGTTAGTCATAAGAAGAATGTTTCAAAGTGAACCATCAATTTTCTAAACAAAGATGATATATGAGAAACCACGTATAGTGCAAAAACGAAAAAACTGAGACATAATGTGAATATTTTCAGAACAAAAAAAACCTATATTTACTATCTCTCATCACTAATAAAAATCATCTATCAATTATTTCTATTATTATACGGCTGAATAGTATGCGTTTGCAGCGGTCTAGTTAGCTGATATACTCGATATAGCTGCCGAAAAAAAAATAAAGTCAAGACAGTGTCGACTGACTCATGTATGTGACTTCATCAATGAGTCTACAGTCGTCATTGTTAGAATATATTTCAAAAAGTAATATTAATTATTCTCTTTCTGTAGACTTCAGATTGATATTCTATGAAATTAAAATAAATTTTCAAAAATCTTTCAAATTTGTGAAAGAATTTCTTTCAAAAAAAACTAGATTGAAACTCTACTTTTGGAAAATCAAGTATGTTTTTGAAATAAGAACATTGTTGAATGAATAATGACACTTTGAAAATGTTGGAGCTTTCACTAACTCATTCATGTAGAAAATAGAATATATCTACTGCTCGATTACTTCATAAAATGTCTCTTAAATAAATTGAAATTCTATTAGACTCAAGTAGCAAATGATAGTGAAATGTATGAATTATTTTTATGTATTCGCAACTGGTTTCAATACTTACTGATCAATGATGAAATTACTTCTTTTTTTCCAACGTGTGTCTTGTTCTGTGCATAACTAAAACGTGACATTTACATAAGATTAACAGTTTACTTTATAATGATTCAGCCGTGATTACACGTTTTCACTTTTTCTTCATCATGCTCGTCCTGTGTTTTTCTTCCTTTGCATTACACACCACCATAGAAAGAAAGTATATATTGATACCCTCGCATATCAGCGTATTCAAGTTAGATGTTGAAATTTTTATCGTGGACAAAAATTGAACCAATAATCTTTTCATTTCTTATGTGAGAAAATTCAGCATTAAACCGTTTATCAAAGAATTTCTTTACGTCTATACCGGGTCTATGACGATTGTGTGTAAGACAATTGTGTGTAAGACAATTGTGTGTAAGACAATTGTGTGTAAGACAATTGTGTGCAGACAATTGTGTGTAAGACAATTGTGTGCAGACAATTGTGTGTATGGACAATTGTGTGTAAGACAGATGTGTGCAAGACAATTGTGTGTATGGACAATTGTGTGTAAGACAATTGTGAGAAGAGGTCATTGTGTGTAAGACAATTATGAGAACAGACGGCCATGTGCATGTACGTCGATTAATTTTATTTGTATTGATTAATATTAAAGAAAGAGAGTCCGACAATGATCAATTTTCCTTGAAAGTATTTAAACGAGTGAGAATAAGAAGACGTTATCCATTTACAATCATTCAAAATTCACCATCATATAGATCACATTGAAAGTACGAACACATCATGTCAATTTTATTTTCTAAAACTGAAAAAGGCAAGCCAGTTCTGATTGAGAACGGTTTTGATTATATTGAAGAACGTACTCATGAAAATAAAGTATATTGGCGATGTACACAATGCAACAAACAGAAATGTAAAGCTAGATTACATACAACTAATAACACAATTTGTCATCGAGTTGGCGATCACAATCACGCGCCCAATCCGAGCATAAGTGGAATTCGTCAATGTCGTTCTGAAATTCGTAATCTTTCTAAAACAACAATCACGACACATTCCATTGTTGCCACATCAATTGCCACAGCATCTACTGCAGTGTTAAGCCAACTTCCACCTATCAACAACTTAAAGCGTGCCGTCTGTCGACAACGTGCTGCAAATCTAAATTTTCCAGCAAATCCTCGATCAATGTCAGAAATTCAAATAACTGGTTCATTTACTCTCACAAAGAAAAAAGAACAATTTTTACAATACGACTCAGGAAACCAAGATTCGAATCGATTTTTAATATTTGCGACGAATCAACAACTTGATCTTCTTCAATCATCTACAGACGTGTATATGGATGGCACATTTAAGGTCGTCCCTGAACTTTTTTACCAATTGTACTCAATCCACGGTTCAGTTCAGGGAAGTATCATTCCAATGGCTTATATTCTTATGTCACGTAAGAGCGAAGAAAATTATAAAAGAATTTATGATACTATTATTTCATTAAGACCATTATTGAATCCTAGTTCAGTTCTTATCGATTTCGAAAAAGGAGCAATGAATGCTATTCGTTCCTGTTGGCCTCACTCAAACGTTAACGATTGCTTCTTTCACTTGACACAAAACATTTATCGACAAGTTCAACAAGCAGGTTTTACAACTAAATATGGGAACGATGAAGAATACGCACACGCCGTACGCATGCTTCCAGCATTAGCTTTTTTGGAAACCAATGATATTCTTTCAACATTTGAAGATATTGGTGATCTACAAATTCCAGATCTCGATCCACTTTACAATTATTTCAAAGATTATTATATAGGTCGATTTCGAAGTCGCAACCGAAGGGCAATTCCAATGTTTCCTATCACATTTTGGAACTTACACAATACGTTAAGAAACAAATTCGACCATACAAACAACGCCGTCGAAGGATGGCATCGACGTCTTAACAATATTGTGGATGCAGCCCATCCTGGATTTTGGCGTTTTTTAAGCGATCTTCAGACAGAGCAATCGTACGTAGACGGTGAAATTTCTCAACTACTAACAGGTCTCATACCAAAACCAAAGAGGATCAAAACTCAAAACACAGCATCGAGAATTTTACGGATTTTAGATAATCCTACAAATGATAATACACAGAAAATAAAAGCGATTGCTCATACATTCATGTTATAATTGTTTACTGATTAGTTTATCTTGATTTTTTTTTGTTATTTTGTCTACTTCATTTTGTTCATTGTCATTCACTTTTTTGACTAAAATATTTATTTATACATGACACACATTCATTTTGCACACAATTGTCTTACACACAATTGTCCATACACACAATTGTCTTGCACACATCTGTCTTACACACAATTGTCCATACACACAATTGTCTGCACACAATTGTCTTACACACAATTGTCTTACACACAATCGTCGTGCTCCCCGTCATGTGTACCTATTCTCAAGTACAACTAACTGTTCGATCATGATCGAACCGCCTTTCAATCGTATTCTTTTATATAAACAGCAATTAGAAAAAGTAAAAATATTTTGAAACATCAAGATTTGATCTACTGCCAGAACGGATGTTGGTCATGATCTTAAATCTGCACTCGATCCGACAATATCTTTCATATCCAGTATTCGACTCGTTTGCAAGGCAGTAATCATGACTAGTCAGACGTCTATTTTATGATCGTCATCGTGACTAATGTTTTCAATGGAAATCTAAAACAAGATATACGTATACACCTTGTTTTCATGGGTAAAGTGTACAAAAACGAAGTTCATAATACTATAAAGAAATAAAAATCAAAACAATGTTCATAGAGTTTCAATAAATATAGATGCAATTTTTATCTGAGAGAGGATGTATGTGTGAGTGTGGTTGAAATTATCTTCTACGCACACATCTCTATCTCTGTTAAAAATGGATAAAAAATAAATAATAATAGTTTATAAAATTTGTAATGTCAAAGGTCGAATATAACTTGTCAATTGATAAATAATCTGAACAGCCCAATGTATTCCATCTGTTCGATTATTATCAAATGGGTCATTGACAGAAATAAAACGAGCTAATCTATAATACCAACGAAATGGAGCCATGAAAATTTGTGCCCATTGATGATTTTTTACTGATGCATAACAACTTGCTAAAACGTCGTTCACCAATAAAGTTCCTGTATTTAATAATAAAAATATTTGAAAAAAAAATAAATACGATAAAATCTAAACTAACCTGTCAATGTTAATGGAGCGAAATATCCTCTTTTTATTTCAATGCTTATATTTCTGATTGGTGAAGATTTCATGTGACCATTAACTAAAGCATAAAGTTGATCACCCAATTGAACTTCTCTAGCCGCAATGTAATTCATTGTGTTATTTGGTGAAATAATCGGAATTAAATGAAGACCTGTCAAACTTATTTTATGACCCGAATCAGTTATGAATGTATAAAACTGAGCTAAAACAAATTGATTAAAGAAAAAAAGAAATATAAAGATGGAGTAGAAACCTTGATTTGATCTTTGTTTATCTAACATAATAACCATTTCAGTAGGAACTATTTTTAAATGATCAACAGTCAGAATTTCATCACCTGTTTGAAGATAATCGATTTGTTTTAGTTCGCCATTAGTTAACATAACCGATGAATCACCAGAAAAACATCCGACAACAACTGCTGTTGAACTTGCATTGGCGCCTATATTATTTTAAAATTTTCTTCACAGAAAAAGCTCGAAGGGCATGGCCAGCTAACGGTCACTCTCGCATTCGAAGGTTTGAAATTACAAAACTGAAAGAAAACTGTCTCTGCAATCGAATATACGCTATCGATGAATTATCGAACATGTTGCAAGCTATGAGATACCTTAGTTATGAGTGACATAATCCCCATTTTTCTTTCATCATATATATATAAAATAAATTTATTGACTGATTTCATAATAGAGTATGATTTTGAATCAAATTACATTTTTTGTCTGAAAGATGATCAAAAATTTTAATGTGCATTCATTATGAGTATAAAACTTGATTACTCAAACGATAGAACTATCTTTGTACTACTCGTAAATTAGGAAAAAGGTATATTTTTATCATGATAATTTAAAAATTTCAAATCCTCAAACCTTCGACTTTGAAACATGAAAAAAGATGAAATTCCGTAACGAACAGTATTTTTAGTTTTTTTATTCTATACAATCAGAGTTGTGAGTAAATAACGTGATATTATGATAGCTTGTAGAGAGCTGAACAAATTGTACGTAAAACGGTTATTTATATTTCATTTTGATTCGTAGTAAAATGCTCAACTCTCATATCACCCTCAACAAAAGATTCCATTTTTTGAAATTTCGTAACGGTCACTATTTTTGGAATAACTTAGTTCTGGTTAAGGAAAGAGTCGATGAAATTTTTATGGATAGTAGAACTTTATAGTCTTTGTCTATGATAAAAATTTCAAAGAGTTAGCTTTTACTACTGAGAAGATATAGATGTCACAATGTAAAAAAGAATGAAATTCCGTAATGTTTGGCCATACCCCTAACTATTTTATCTTTACCTTTTCCACCACTTTTCTGTCCATAACTATGATATATTGCTGTAACATATAGAATAACAATCTTGAAAATATGCATTCTTTTATACATGTCTCAAAACGACGAAATGAACAATTTTAATGATGAAAGATTCTTTGAAAATCTTCAAGTTTGACTTCACTTGAAATGATTGCATTCGATAATAAAATGTTTTTTCTTCATGTAACATTAATATAAGAGCAAATAGTTTTGCAAATTTTTCATCGGTGATATATATATATTTATATTTACTTTAAAAATTTAATAATTACATATTGACACATCAATCAAAAATCACAATTTACATATTTTAAAAGCAATAACCAAATAAAGACGAATTTACAAAGCAGTGGTTTTGATTTTCTTCTGAACTACTTTCGATTCTGATTTTAAAAAAAGATGACTGTAGAATTGCTTCCATTATTGACTTCCGATATTTACAAAAGAAAAGCAATGTTATTCTTGCATCTAATTGCTTAATAGTGAGGAGTAAGCAAAACTCTGTTTGATACTCAATTGAAAAAGTCTTGATCGAACAAAAAAAAAACGTTCTAAATTTGCATCATACAAATAGTAGAGTCATTTTTTTTCGTAAAGTGCTCGAAAGTCAAAATTGAAGCTACATCTCTTTTTACGGTTTTTCATTCTAGTTAGGTAGACATAAGGTTCTAGTAGCGATAGTTACGTTGGATTAGATTATAGAAAGGTATCCTGTCCCTGATGAAGGCATTCTTTGCTGTTCTCCGCTGTTACAGAATGTTTTCTTCTCGGTTCAGTAGAAAGCTAACAAGCAGATTTCTTCGAAATGATGAATCTGTTCCACATGATTAAACATCCCTAGGAGTGTCAGATTAGAATTAGTACTAGCATTAAATAATGCTAATGCTCATACTTTTGCATTAGCATTATTGACATTATGCTTGATAATTAATACTAATGCTTCGACATTAGCATTTTTCTTAACTCAATGCAACTCGGCACCCCTAACTATCACACTCTCAGAAAGACAAGAATATGTTCTTTGTCATTCTTCATCTCACCTAACTCTTTTTTTTTCTCGGTTCAAAAATTGTTTCTCGAAAAATATAGTATGTTTTTATTTTTAAAAACAGAGTTCATCAACACTGTAGAGAACGTTGTACTTTGGCTACAAAACAAAAATTAGACTTTTGTTCGATATTGCAAGCAGTGTGTACTATTTCTTATCGATATTTACTCGAATTTTTCTTGGTATTATGGGTTTTAGATCATCTAGATCTTCCATAGTTGCTTTGCAATCATTTGTTTGATATGTTTCAAAATGATTGAATTATTGGTACATTCCTTTAAAGTAGGTCATTCGTGATACCTCGAAAACTTTAATAGATGTGAAAACGAACACGTTACAGCATTTTATAGTCCATTTGTAATTAAAATTGGTTCTTTGCTTTCTTTTTCCTAGAAATCTATTGAAGCATGTGTTTATAAGAAATCCGTCTCTTTGACGATGAGACCTTCATCGATCATCGCAGAACAGTACGAATGTATTATATATATAAGAAACTATGCTAAACATTATGAAAGATGTATCTTGATGCTTGTACTTATAAATATAATTGATGCAAATCACTCTAATCCATGTCCAAGAGACACAAATTAGTGGAAGCACAGTAGACTTTCATCAATTGGTGAGCTCCCGGTAACTCGTTTATAAAGTCATAGTAAAAGACTTGAATGATATGAACCCCATAATACCAAGAAAAATTCGAGTAAATATCGATAAGAAAAATATTACATATTGTTTTCGATACCAAACAAAAGTCTAATTTTTGTGTTTTAACCAAAGTACAACGTTTTCTACAGTGTTAATGAATTTTGTTTTTAAAAATAAAAACATACTGGTTCTCTCTTTTTGAAATAGAAAAAAGTTTTGGATTAAACTTGACCAGTAGTGAAATTAAATGCATTTATACAGTTTTCATGACTTGTGGGACATACAGTCAATTAGTTAGCTTATTATAAGTTTTGACTTGGTTCGGTTCGATTCCAAAAAAACACGAACTGATCTCATCTCTAGTAGCTATCACTTTGCAAAAGTAATACACGATATGTAAAATTCATTGTATACTTGAGATTCGAAAGAAGTAAGCGAGATTTTTCTTTGAATTTACATGATCATTACGCAACTAATTAAGGTAATCGTCTATTAAGTCTTATTTTTTTGATAGTGACAGTTATATATTGCTGCCTCTTTGATTTGAATGTGTTGGACTGATTAAGATACCATTAGCTTATTGATTCATAGATAAAAAAAATCGATACCATCAAAGTTAAAGCATCAGTTCGTTTGATTTGTGATATGCCGAATCAATAAATTCTTCCGCTGAAAATCATAGTGTCCATGTTTATCGTCATTTTAAATTTTTATCAAAATTAGAGTTCAATGATGAAGAAATTTAATCTGCTTCGATATGAACATAGATATTATTTATTATTAAATAAATATACGTATATGCTATCAGTGAAGAAATTCGTTTTGGTCAGGTATTATGATAACTTCACAAGTATATTCTTAATTATTTATTATTTGGATTACAAAATAACTTCGATAAAATTCTT